GGATAAAAATCAGGAGGCTCCCGCGGCTGGGAAGGTCCTCCCTGAGGACTGAGGGGTCCCCGTCCCACACCAGGTGCCCCGTTCAGGGTTCCAGTGCCAGGAAGAGAAGTCCCCATAACTTCTGGCTGGAAAAACCAGCAGGAACTGAGGCTCAGGGAGGCTGAGGCAGCTGGAGCCCCAGGCAGCTCCTTAAAGGGCCCGCACACGGACTTATCGGACTCTCTCCCTCTAAGCTTGGAGGGGACGCAGCTCGAGGGGCACCAGAGACATACAGGGAAGAACTGAGCTGTTTGGCACTGGAGCGAGGGCTGGGGAGGGGGCTTTCTCCGGGACAAACGTGCTGTCAGAGGCCTTTGTTCCTTTGGTGAGCCCTTCCCTGGGGTGGCAGACAGCCGCCATATCTGGGACTCCAGCAACCTGGATCACACTGGTAGCCCCGCCCTGCTGACTCCCTGAGGCCCCGCCCCACCCAACTTTCAGGCCCACCCAGCTGTTGCCACTTGCTTAACCATAGGATTGGCCTGTCTTGGATCCTGCTTCAGGTTTTTCCTAAATTCTTTCAAACGAGCAGCATCTGGTCTCAGCTAGCCCCATACCGCTTGTTAAGTAATACACAGAAACAAACACAGGGAGGCAGCCAAAATGAGGAGACAAAGAAACAGGTCCCAAATGAAAGAACAGAACAAAACCCCAGGAAAAGAACTAAGCGAAATGAAGATAAGCAACCTAACAGATGCTGAGTTCAAAATACTGCTTATAAGGATACTCGATGAACTCAGTGAGAACCTCAGTGAACCTAGTGAGGGCCTCAAGAGCATAAAAAAGGACCAGTCAGAAATGATCCATGCACAGTCAGAAACGAAGGAGGCTTTAACTGAAATAAAGAATAATTTACACAGATTCAATAGTAGAGTACGTAAATCCAAGAAGCAAACCATTGATTTGGAATATAAGGAAGCAAAAAACGCCCAATCAGAACAGCAAAAAGAAAAAAGAATCCAAAAAAGTGAGGATAGTGTAAGGAGCCTCTGGGACAACTTCACGTGTGCCAACATTCACATCTTGGGGGTGCCAGAAGGAGAAGAGCAAGAACAAGAAATCGAAAACCTGTTTGAAACAATAACAGCAGAAAACTTTCCTAACTTGGTGAAGGAAACAGACATACAAGTCCAGGAAGCACAGAGAGTCCCAAACAAGATGAACCCCAAGAGGCCCACACCAAGACACATCATCATCAAAATGCAAAAGGTTCAAGACAAAGAGAGAATCTTTTTTTTTTTTTATTGATTAATTTTTGTTACAGATGATTCTCCTTTTTTCCCCCACTGATTCCCCCCTCCCTCTCCCCTCCCTGCCCCTTCCCCAGATTGTTGTCCATGTCCACTGTTCATGCATACATGCGTATAAGTTCTGTGGTTCATCCCTCCCCCACCTCCCCACTCCTTAGGGGATTGTCAGTCTGTACCCCGCTTCCGCGTCTCTGGGACTACCCCATTCCTCAAACTGTTATGTTCATTATATTCCACAAATCAGTGAGATCATATGAAATTTGTCTTTCTCTGTTTGGCTTGTTTCACTTAGGATGATACTTTCCAGGTCGCTCCATGTAGTCTCAAAGGATAAGAGATCTCTCTTTCTTACCGCTGCATAGTACTCCATTGTGTATATGTACCACAGCTTTTTGATCCATTCGTCTACTGATGGGCACTTGGGCTGTTTCCAGATCTTAGCGATTGTAAATAGTGCTGCTACAAAGATGGGGGTACATATATTCTTTCTTATTGGTGTTTTATGCTTCTTAGGGTATATTCCTAGAAGTGGGATCACTGGGTCAAATGGAATATCAATTTTTAATTTTTTGAGGTGACACCATATTGTTTTCCATAGTGGCTGCACCAGTCTGCATTCCCACCAGCAGTGTACTAGAGTCCCCTTTTCTCCACACCCTCGCCAACACTTTTTGTTTGATGATTTGTTGATGGCGGCCATTCTGACAGGTGTGAGGTGATACCTCATTGATGTTTTGATTTGCATCTCTCTGATGATTAGTGATCATGAGCATTTCTTATATGTCTCTTAGCCATTTGTATGTCCTGTTTCGAGAGGTGTCTATTTAGTTCCTCTGCCCATTTTTTTTTTTTTTATCCTCACCTGAGGACATTTTTTCCATTTTTTGCTCAGAAAGAGTGTGGGAGGGAGAGAGAGAGAGAGAAACATCGACGCGAAAGGGACACGTCAAGTGGTTGCCACCCACACGACCCAACCAGGGCCGGGGACAAACTGCTACCGAGGTACGCGCCCTTAGCGGGAACCGAACCCAGGTCTCTCAGGACCGCAGGTCGACGCTCTAACCGCTGAGCCAAACCGGCCAGGGCTCCTCTGCCCATTTTTTAATTGGATTCTTTGTCTTCCTTTTGTGGAGTTGTATGAGCACTCTATATGTATTGGAAATTAACCCCTTATCTGATATATCATTAGCAATTATGCTCTCCCATACAATGGGTTGCCTTTTTGTTTTGATGATTGTATCTTTCGCTGTGCAGAAGCTTTTGAGTTTGATGTAGTCCCATGTGTTCATTTTCTCCTTTGTTTCTATTGCCTTAGGTGATGTGTCAGTAAAAATTCTGCTGTGTATGATGTCTGAGATTTTGTTGCCCACAGTCTCCTCTAGGATTTTTATGGATTCATGAGTTACATTTAAGTCTTTTATCCATTTTGAGTTTATTTTGGTGTAGGGTGTAAGTTGATGGTCTAGTTTCATTTTTCGGCAAGTAGCTGTCCAATTTTCCCAGCACCATTTATTAAAGAGGCTGTCCTTACTCCACTGTATGCTCTTGCCACCTTTGTCAAATATTAATTGAGCAAATTGCCTTGGGTCCATTTCTGGGTTCTCTATTCTGTTCCACTGATCTGTATACCTGTTCTTGTGCCAGTACCAGGCTGTTTTGATTATGGTGGCCAAAGAGAGATTCTTAAAAGCAGCAAGAGAAAGGCAGCTAGTTACCTACAAGGGAGTTACCATAAGGCTGTCAGCTGATTTCTCAAAAGAAACTTTGCAGGCCAGAAGGGAGTGGCAAGAAATATTCAGAGTGATGAAAACCAAGAACCTATAACCAAGATACTCTATCCTGCAAAGCTGTCATTTAGAATCGATGGCCATATAAAGACTTTGCCAGACAAGAAAAAGTTAAAGGAGTTCATCACCACCAAACCATTATTATATGAAATGATGAAGGGTCTTTTTGAAGAAAAAGATAAAATATATGAACAAACAAAATGGCAATGAATACATATCTATCAACAATGGAATCTACAAACAAAATGAACAGGTAGAACAGAAACATTCTCATAGATACAGAAAACACTTTGTTGGTTGCCAGATGGGAGGGAGGTTGGGGGAATGGGTGAAAAAGGTGAAGGGATTAAGAAGTACAAATTCATTAATAGACTGACAAACTTCAAAGGAAAAGGGGTTGGGGGGGGGGAATAAACCAAATAACTTATATGCATAACCAATGGCCACAGACAATAGTGTGGGAAAAGGCGGGAGGGGGGACGGAAGTGGGGAGGAGGGGGTCAATGGGGGAAAAATGTGGAACATCTGTAATACATTCTACATTCAACAATAAAGATTTAAAAAATAAAATAAAAAACAACAACAAAAAAATCTGACAAAATTTCTGAAACTTTTATTAACTTTTTCCATAACTGATCTGAGTTTTAGTAGAAGTATTTGGAAATTACAGGTAAATATCTTGGTATGAGTGTGCCCAGAAACAGATGAGACAAAGATCTGAGTGCAAGCAGACTCTTTGGGGCACAATGTCATAGGGGAGTGGAGAGGTAATATAAGGAAGAACATCCAGACAATGAAGGCTGTGTGATTAACCCAGCACAATGGGCAAGTAGAGAGAAATCTCCTGGAGAAACCCTGGGAAACACTGCAAAATAAATTCCAGAGAATTATGCCCCTCAGGAGTGAGCTACTACCTTAGCCTTTTCAGTCTGCTCAGATCTACGGTTCTGGAGTAAAAAGCTCAGATACAGAGGAAACCATTAAAATTGACTGGATTACTGTGGGACACTGACAGCATCTGGAATAATATGCAAAATAATGGTAATTATAATTACTAATGATGAACATTTTGATATACTTCCACTCAGAACTTTTAAAATATGTAGATGTATCAGAAATTAAATGATCATAAAATAAGGTCCTTCTACAATATTAATTGGCAGCTTGCTTTAACACTTAGCAATACCTTATATTACATCTTTCTATGTCAATAAATATAAATGTACTTATAATCATTACTAATTATGATATACTATACCATAATTTATTTCATTAGGTCCCCTGATTAGACATTTAGATTGGTTCTAGGTTTTTGCTTTTCTCAAGGGAGATACTTTATTGCAGTCTCACTGGACAATGAATTTATACTTGGTTCAATTGCTGCCTGACTGTATGTTTATTATAACAATGCTTAAAAAGTATAAATAGTGTGGGAAGGAGCAGTATGTATTCAAAGGCCAATGATTCACAGCTTTGTAGTTTAGAAATATTACTTAATACATGTTGCGGGTCTGGGTAAGTCGGTGAAGGGATTATGAAAAAAAAAAAAAAAACCCAAACTCTTAAACACAGACAATAGCATGGTGATTGCCAGCAGAAAGGTGGGGTGTGGGTAGGTAGAATAGAGTATATAGGGAGGATAAATGGTGACAAAAGGAGACTTGACTTGGGGTGGTAAACACACAACACAATAGACAAATTATGTGTTATAGAACTGTACACCTGAAACCTATATGATTTTATTAACCAATGTCACCCCAATAAATTCAAGTTAAAGAGAAATGTCTTAATACATATAATTTTAAATTCAAAATATTGTGTTATATCTTGTGATATAATTTAGGTTATAGGGAGTCACTTGATTGTTGCATTTACCACCACTACCACAACTTAGGATCCATTTCTTTATATTTATGAAGAATGATTTGGATTTTAGCTCAGTGTCACAGTTCAGAGCCATCACAGCCATGTGCATTTATATAGTTGGAAAACTGACACAAAATATCAGTATAACTTGTAAGCTGGAAAAGAAAAACATCTAAATAAATAACTTCTTGAAACAAGAAAAAAACACCCAAAGATGTTTATAAAGCTAATTTTAAATCATGGATGAAAGAAGAAATTGCCACATGAATTAGAAAATATTTTTAACATATGACTTATAAAAATTGTTGGATATAGCTAATGCAATGCCTAGAGAAAATTCATAGCCTTAAATGCATATATTAAAAAGGAAGAAAGAAAAAAAAAAAGGAAGAAAGGATAAATATCAATTTTCCAAAAAATTATAAAAAGAACATCAAGCACTGGCCGGTTTGGCTCATCAATTCGAGCATCAGCCTGCGTACTGGGGAGTTGCAGGTTTGATTCTGGGCAAGGGCACATGCCTTGGTTGCGGTGTGATCCCCAGCCCTGGTTAGGGTCATGCAGGAGGTAACTAATCAATGTGTCTCTCTCACATTGATGTTTCTCTCTCTTTCTCTCTCTCTCCCTCTCTCCCTCTGTCTCTCTCCCCTCTTTCTCCCCCTCATTCTTTCTGAAAATCAATGGAAAAATATCCTCAAGTGAGGATTAAAAAAAAAAAAGAAGAATATCAAAGCAAGTAAATGAAGTAAAAGAAAGAAAATAAATCTAAGAGCAGAAATAAAAGGAAACAAATATACTATAGAGAAAAATCAACAACACTAAACATGATTCCTTGGAAAGATTAATAAGATTGATAAATTCTTAGTAGGACTAATCAAATAAAAAAAGAGAGATGGCAAAAATTACCACTATGAGGCAGAAAGAGAGGACTTCACTATAGATTCTATATTAATTAAGAAGATAAAATAATATTATGAAAAAGTTTATGCCAATAAGTTTTAATTTATTAAATAATAAATAACAATTTGAATGAACTGGATAGTTACCTTAGAAACACATCTTACAATAATGAAAGCTAAAAGACAACTTGTAATGGGAGAAAATTGTAAATCATATATCTGATAAGGGAGTTAAAATATCGAATATAGATAGAACACCTAAAACTCAATAATAAAAAATAAATGACCAATTTTGAAAATAGGAAAATATCTGAATATATATTTCTCCAAACAAAATATACAAATGGCCAATAGCACATAAAAAGATGCTCAACATCATTAGCCAACAAGAAAATGCAAAGCAAAACCAAATTGACATACCACTTCACACACACACTAGGATAGTTATAAACAAAAAGACAGATAATGATAAATATTGGTGATGATGTGAAGAAACTAGAATGCTCATTCACTGTTGGAAAAAAGTTTGGTAGTTCTTCAAATGGTTAAACATAGTGTTACTTTATGACACAGCAATTCCCTCCTAAGTATGTACCAAAGAGAGTTGAAAATATATGTTCACACAAAAACTTGTATATGAATGTTCATAGCAGCAGCATTTATAATAGTCCAAGAATGGAAACAACTGAAATGTTCAGTAGATGATAAATGGATACACAAATTGTAGTATATCCATATAGTGAAATATTATTCAACCTGAACTAAAGTAATAGAGAAACATTGGCTTCTATTATATAGTGTATACAAAGCCTAATAAGAAAATATTTGTTTGTTTGTTTGTTTTTAAATCCTCACCCAAGCATATTTTTCTATTCATCCTCAGATAGTGGGAGGAAGAGAGAAGGAGAAAAAGAGAGAGAGAGAGAGAGAGAGAGAGAGAGAGAGAGAGAGAGAGAGAGTTGTGAGAGGAGGGACACATTGACTAGTTGCCTCCTGCACAACCTCGACCAGGGTCTGGGATGAACCACAACTGAGGTATGTGCCTTGGCTGGAATCGAACCCGAAACTCATTGGTCCATGGGCCGACACTCTACCACTGAGCCAAAATGGACAGCGCTGTTTGTTTCTTTTTTAAATTAAGAATATACTTGGAGAATTTATATGCATAGAAGTATAACCCATGGACATAGACAATAGGGCACATGAAGGCCTTTGGGGGGAATGGAGTGGAGGGGGACAATGAAAGAAAACAGGAGGGACATCTGTATACTTTCAACAACAAAGATAAATTTTTAAAAAAGAATACACTTGGAAGAATACAGGAAGGTAAGATCCTTCTTTAATAGTAGAACTATTTGTTCCACCCATAATAACTGCTATTATACATTACTTTATTCAGTTTACTCAGTAAGCAGGGTAAATAGCTGCCTAGTGTGGTTTAAAGAAAATATCTTCAGCCTGGCCAGTGTGGCTCAGTGGATTGAGCATCGCCCCATGCACTGAGAGGTCCCGGTTTGATTCCCGGTCAGGGCACATGCCCGGGTTGCAGGCTGTATCCCCAAAGGGGACGTGCAGGAGGCAGCCAATTGATGTTTCTCTCTCACATTGATGTTTCAATCTCTCTCTCCCTTCCTTTCTCTCTAAAAAAATCAATAAAAACATTTTAAAAAAATCTTCATCTTGTTTATTTCTTTATTGATTTACTTGGTATCTATCTATCTATCTATCTATCTATCTATCTATCTATCTATCTATCTATCTGAGTTCTTTACTTTCTTCCTTACATCAAGTAGTTATCTTGTAAATGCAGACACTCCTCGAAGAACCTGGTCATGGGTAAAGGAGTGAGTGCTGAAGGGATAGATATTTTGAAAGCATAGACATTAATGGAAAGGGAGTTTTCTATGACATAGTTGAGGAAGAAGGCTATAGTCATGACACATGAGGGTAAAGGGGCAGGAACTGGCCCCGGCTGGTATGGATTAGCTGGTTGGAGCATTGTCCCAAGCAGCAGAAATGTGCAGGTTTGATTGTCGGTGAGGGCACATATCTGGGTTGCGGGTTTGATTTCCAGGTGGGGTGCATATGTGAGGCAACTGATCGATGTTTCTCTCTCATTGTTTTTCTTGCTCTCTCCCTCACCTTTCCTCTCTCTCAAATTACTTAAAAACAAACAAATAAAAAATTCAAACATATCCTTGGATGAGGATTGAAGGGGGGGAAGGGGCAGGAATTTGCAATGCCAATCAACTTGTAATGTGTGCCTGGAGAACTGTGTTCAGAAGGATTCTGAGCCTGTATTCTAGAGTCAGAGGAAAAGTGCTTCCTGGTTTATTAAAGGAGAAGCAGCAGCATATGTGTCAGCCCGTCCCATCCCTTCAGTGGCGGTTTAAAGACAAAAAGCTCCCTGGTTGAGGGAAATTTTGAACAAAGAAACCGCCAAGATAAGGCAAAGGTTGAGATAACACGATCCAGATTATGGCAATATTACAAAGGAATCAGAGAAAAGGAAAAAAAACAGTGGATAAACCAGTAATAGGTTTGGAGTAAAGAGCACCTTGAAGTCAGAAGTACTACTCTAAACACATTCAGCTGAACAGCATATTGTTCCAGGCATCATTGTATACCTGTGCTGGCTCCTGGCCCCCATCCTTCTGGTTCAAATGTGGCAAGGCCACAGGGTTCACCTGGGAAGGGAAACGAGTAAATTGGGCTAAGGGGAGTACCCACCATAAGCGGGAATCAGGATGCATAGCAGTACCAAATAAAAACGTAAGGGTGCCTACCATCAACATTGCCTGCTTGCCCTCTCATAAAGTCTTCTGTATCTTAAGATCTAATAGATACTAATACATTCTCAGGGTTTCTCCAGAAAAACAAATGTAGTGAGGGGCCTCAATTCAATAGAAGGGGTCCAAATGGAAGTCAACTTTTGAACTGAAGTTGGAAGAAGGTGCCTGGGAGAACTGAGAGAGGAACAAGGAGGTGTAGCCCAGGTGCAATCTGGGGCATCTGACTTCATTCTTGGGGGGATGTGGGTTGTATGAGTTTGTCAGAATTGAACAGTGACTAAGCTAAGATGTGTGTCTGGCTCTTGCCAGGGATGGACCAGGCAGGATTGTAAATACTAGCCCAGGCTAGTATTTATTCCTTTCTCAATTTTTAAAATGAGTCTAGCCTATTCATGAAGGGAGTCCCTGAAACCCCTAAATCCTCTCTGTTATCTCCAAAATTAAGCCATCCTATTTCCTATTTGCTATTCTGAATTGTTGTCTAGGGTTTGAAGTTCTCCAACCCATTTCTCTCCCACCTTAGTTCCAGGATTCCTCAAATTGACCATATTGATTGATAATTCATTTGGGATATGCTTTATAATCCAACCACACATTTTTCTCTAGGATGTCTATAATGCACGTGGAGGTAGTACAGACCATGCCCCATGCACCCAGCTCTAGCACTGATCATCATGGTTTATTAAAAAGGAGAAGATATAAATTTCCACTTGCAGGAAGATTCAGTTAATATACTTTTCCCCATTCTCCCCATTATATGCTATTTAAAACTCTAGAAATTATATACAAAATAAATATAAAAAGACTTCAAAAGGTGTATAGAAGAAAGCAGATCAGCTAAATATGTTGAGACTCAAGGAATGAAATGATGGTGAGTTCTCTGGGTTTTTCTTTTGCCTCATATATCCCAGACCTGAAGCTGAAGAAGCTCAAAACCTGACATGCCAGCAAGCAAAGACAAAGAAAACCTCGAGAAAAATTCTGCTCTCTTAACCAAAGGATTATGGAAGAGGCAACATAACAAGATAAAACAAATACAAAGGAATCTACCAATCATAATTACATTTCTAAAAAACAAAAACAAAACCCAGAATTGAAAGCATCTGGAGAAAAACAATGTCATACCTATAGGGAAAAGACAATCTGAATGATAGTAGATTTTTCATCAGAAACCATGGAGTCCAGCCTGGCCAGTGTGGCTCAGTGTTTGAGCATTGATTCATGTACTAAGAGGTCGCCAGTTGGATTCCTGGTCAGGGCACACGCCCAAGTTGTGGCTTCAATCAATGTTTTGCTCTCACATTGATGTTTCTCTCTCTTTCCTTTTCTCTCTCTCTCACAAAAAAAAAAAAAAAAATCAGTTTAAAAAAAAAAAAAGAAGAAAGAAAGGAGCCATGGAGTTCAGAAATGAGTACCACAATATATATATTTTTTTTAATCCTCACCCGAGGATATTTTTTTTGCATTTTTTGTTCAGACAGAGCGGGAGGGAGAGAGAGGAAGAGAGAGAGAGAGAAACATCGATGTGAAGGGACACATCGAGTGGTTGCCACCCGCACGACCAACCAGGGCCAGGGACAAACTGCAACCAAGGTACGTGCCCTTAGCGGGAAACGAACCTGGGTCTCTCTGTACCGCAGGCCGACGCTCTAACCGCTGAGCCAAACCGGCCAGGGCCCACAATATTTTTTTCAAGTGCTGAAAATAAAAAGAACTGTCAACTAGGATCCTATCTCCAGTGAAAATATCTTTCAATAAATGAGGGGAAATCAACGCATTCTTAAATGAAGGAAAACTTCATAAGAGAATTTGTTGCCAGGAGACCTATCCTAAAAGAATGACTAAAGGAACTTCTCTAAATAGTAAAGAAACAATTAAAAACAAACTGTGGAACACCAGAAAGAACATGGTAAGCAAAGTTATGCATAAATACAAGAGGCTTTCCTTCATGAGTTTTCTTGGTTATGTCTGACACTTGAGGCAAAAATTATAACACTGTCTGATGTGGTTCTCAATGTATGCAAAGAGATATTGAGACAACTATATTTTAAATAGGAGAGGCTAAATGATATAAAGATAGCTAAGGTTTCTATAGTTTATTTGAACTGGTAAATGATAATACTGATAGACTGTGATTATGTGCATATAATATAATACCTAGAGCAACTACTAAAAATGCTAAGGTGATACTCTGGAAATCACTATGGAAATATCAAAGGGGATTCTAAAAATATGTTCAAGTAATCGATAGGAAGGTAGGGAAAGAAAATAGAGAAAATTTAAAAAGTGATCCAACAGAAGACAAAAAATATAATGGCAGAGGTAATCTCTAATAAATTGGTTATTAGAGTAAATTATAATGATCTGAATATGCCAATCAAAAGACAAATATTAGATTTCATTAAAAGCACGATTTAGCTATATGCTATCTATAAAAAACTCACTTCAGGTATAATGATATATAGGCAGGTTGATAAAGAAGGGTTGATTCACCAAGAAGATACAGCAATCTCAAATGTGCATGCATAAAACAACAGAGCTACAAAATATGAGAAGGAAGCCCTGGCCAGTTTTGCTCAGCAGTTAGAGTGTTGGCCAGAGGACCAAAGGGTCACTGGTTTGATTCCCAGTCAAGGGCATGTACCTGGGTTGCAGGTTCAATCCCCGGTCCCAGTTGGGGTTATGCGGGAGGCAACCAATGAATGTGCCTCTCTCACATCAATGTTTCTCTCTCTCCCTTCCCCCCTTCCACTCTATCTAAGAATCAATGGGAAAATATCCTCCAGTGAGGATTAACAACAACAAAAATATGAGAAGGAAAAACTGGTAGAGAGGAGAAACGGACAAATCCACAACTGTAGTTGAAAACTTGAGCACCTCTCAACCATTGTTAGGACAATTGGACAAGAAATCAGCAAGAATATGGAAGAATTCAAGAATGGCCTCCACAAATGGGATTTAACAGACATTTTTTTGAACATTCCACCCAATAAGAGCATAAAGAAGAATAAAATGGGAGGAATCAGTCTACCCAATTTTAAGACTTATTATACAGCTATAATCAAGACTGAGAAATATCAATCAATGGAACAGAAGAGAGGACCCAGAAAGAAACCCACAAAAATATGTACAACTGGTTTTTGACAAAGATGCAAAAACAATTCGGTGGGGAACAGACAGCCTTTTCAACAAATGGGGCTAGAGCAAGTGGGCATCCAGAGGTCGAAGAAAAATAAATCTTGACCTAAGTTTCACACTGTATACAGAAAGTAATTCAAAATGGATCACAGACTTATGTAAAAGTATAAAACCTAGAAAAACAGGAGAAAACCTCTAGGATCTAGGGCTAAGCAAATAATCTGTAGAAGTAAAATTGATGAACAGAACTTCATCAAAATTAAAATGTTTACTTCAGGGAAGATTGTTAAGAGGATGAAAAGATAAGCAACAGAGTGGCAGAAAATATTTGCAAACTACATACTGAATTTCTACAACTCAAAAGTTAAAAAAAAAGCAAACAAGCTAATTAGAAAATAGGCAAAAGACTTGAAGATATAGTTCACCAAAGAGAATATTTAGATGGCAAATGAGCACATAAAAAGATATTCAACATCATTAGCCATTTAGGGAAATATAAATTAATAACATAATGAGATATCTCTATACATTTATCTGATTGGCTAAAATAAAGACAGTGACAACATCAAATGTTGATTAGCATGTTGAAGAATCTGGATCAGTCATAGATCCCTGGTTGCAATGTAAAATAGCATGGTCACTGAAAAATAGTGGCAGTTCCTTCATACATTGAACATGTAACTACCATGCAACATAGCAACTCTACTCTTGTGCATTTATCTCAGAGAAATGAAGGCTTACGTTCACATAAAAACCTATATGTGAATATTTATAGCAGCTTTCTTGTAATAGCTCCAAACTGAAAACAAACTCGATGTCCTTCTATGAGTGAAAGGTTAAACAAACTATGATGCTTCTATACCAGGAATACTATTCAGTAATAAAAAGTAATGAACTGTTGATAACATCCATCAACCTGGACGAATCTCCAGAGAATTATGCTGAGTGAAAAAAAAAAAAAAAGCCAATCTCAAAGGTTACATATTGTGTGATTATATATATATATATTTCTTGGAATGGCAAAATTATAGAAATGGAGAATAGATTAGTCATTGCCAGGGGTTTGATAGGGATTGGGGTGCTAGGAAAATGAGTGTGTTTATAAAAGGGTGACACAAAGTATCCTTCTGGTAATGGAAATGTTCTATATCTTGACTATTGATATCAACATCCTGGTTATGATAATTGTATTAAACTTTTGCAAAATATTGCCATTGGAAAAACTAGGTAAAGGGTACATACAAGTTTTCTGTAAAATTTCTTACAACTGCATGCGATTCTAAAATGAACTCAAAATAAAAGCATTTCATAAAAAACAAGGGAGGGGGTAAGGTGGTTAAGGTCGTTTGGACTGGCATCTATTATGTCATGGGAGTTTGTGAAGTACTCCTGTGAATGGTCTGTTAGGCACAGAACTTACTGGGCCATCGGAGATAGGAGAACTGAGATTCCAGGGGATGAGGACCCAGAGACAAACAGTTGATTTTCTTACCGTTGGGGACTGTTCGTTTTGATTGTTCTTTTCCAGGCTAGTGGCTTGAGAACACCTGGTACACAGAGCTTTGTAAAAGCATATGAATAGAAGTTAGTAGATTGTCTTTAGGTGAGTCGTTTGCGTTAGTCCATATGCTCTTAAGTAAATGCTAACTGTTGTAATTTGTCTAGATTATATTCAACATACCATAGGGGGCGTGGTGCAGGAGATAGGCTTGTTAAAGGGGCATACGAAATTCACATGTTATGCCTTAGATAAAAGTGAAGGGAGGAGGAAAAGTCAGAGATAAAGGATTTGAGTGTATGTCATAGTTAGATAATTCAGAAACAACTAACTATAATTAGTTCATCTAGTTATTTAAGGAACTGACAAATTTGTTCTATTTTTCCATCCTTTAATAGTCCTTTCCATTGACAGGCTAATCACCTCTGTTTCCTACTTCATCTATGTAATCTTGAAGAAAAATGTGGAGCAGTATGCAATTCTAAGCATTTAAAACAATTTTAGGAAACATCTCTATTCCTCCATTTAACTCACTGGTGCAGACGCAGAGGGGGAATACTTTTCCATTGTACTTTGGAGTCTCTGTGCTAGAGATCTGTGCTGCTGGCTCAGACACTTTTTTTATTCAGTGTTTCAGAGCTGGAGTACAGGGAGTCCTTCTGTAGTAATGATTGGGTACTATCCTCATTACTCATTTTACCTAGGCTGTGATCCAAATAGAACACAATGATCTAGAGAAGGAATAAAAAGTAGCACCTCGCCCTGGCCGGTTTGGCTCAGCAGTTCAAGCGTTGGCCCACGGACCAATGAGTCGCGGGTTCGATTCTGGTCAAGGGCATGTACCTCGGTTACGGTTCATCCCCAGGTCTGGTGGGGGCTGTGGAGGAGGCAACCAGTCGATGTGTCCCTCTCACATTGATGTTTCTCTCTCTCTCCCTCCCTCCCACTCTATCTGAAGAAAAATATCCTCAGGTGCGGATTAAAAAAAATAATAAATGAATAAATAAATGAATAAATAAACGAATAAATAAACGAATAAATAAAGAAGCACCTGAAGAGCTACCCAAAGAAACCTTCAAAGACTTGATACCTAAGGGGAATGCAGATGCTTTCAGAAGAATAAAAATGATACCAGAAGTGGGGGTAGCCTCCTAAATTTGAGTAGTCAACATGGCCTGAGGTCTTCCAGCTATAAAGCTGTTAATACTACAGAGGCTGCTTTATTTCCAGAGGCCAAAAACATACCCATCGCTAGTATGGCTACATTCTGAGAATTTCAGACCTTTTGGAGACCAGAGATAGCTACTGAAAATGAGTGCACCAAAGTTGGCAATCATTTAGCTCAGCTTTTAGTTGGAAAGAATACAGATGTTTGAGAAACTTCATGAAATGTGATGCAGCGGAGTTGAGTGTAGTACAGGAATAGAAATGGGACAATAAGGCGTGTAGGGTTTTCTGAGGAAGTAGAAAACAAGGCTGTAAGAAACTTTGCTGTAAGGAACTAGCACTGGAAAATCATCATCCAACAACAGCAAATCAGCTCAAAATCTGTCCATGCATGTGAACTCAGTGGTCAGCTAGAGACTCAGGCAGTGTTTATGCCCAGACCTTTGGGCTATTGCTCTCTTGTGCTCTTTTCCGTTTGCCCCTAACTCTGCTTTCTGGTTCTTCCTCCCTAGAAGACTATGGGTTTAAAAAGATATATATGTTTTTATTGATTTCAGAGAGAGAGAGGAAGGGAGAGGGAGAGGAAGAGAGAGGGAAACACTGATGTGAGAGAAACATGGACTGGCTGCCTCCTGCACACCCCCTACTGGGGATCAAGCCCAAAACCTGGGGCTTTTGCCCTGACCAGGAATCAAACCAGCACCAGATCCGTGCACGGGAGGATACTCAACCAACTGACTAGGCCAGGGCAAGACTATGGGTTTTTAATCAGAGTTTTAGCCACTCTGTGTTGTGCAAACTACAGCTTGCCCTCAGATTAAAAGCTATAAAGATTGGAAACTAATCCATGTCATTACCTCCACCAAAGTATAATAATTTTCCTACTATAAATTATCTGCTTTTGGTCACCCTCTTCTGTCTTTCTTTTTTCTTTTTGTATTGTGTCCAGAGTTTATAAACTTGTTAACTGCAGAAGGGTTGGTCCAATAGGTTACTCAGCTATACCAGAATCTGTGCCCTCTTCCCTCTCTTTATAACCAAAAGAACATCTGTTCATTACTTCCTCAAAGAATGTTGACAATTAATTAGGTGCTCAAGGTGTTGGTTTGGTGTTTCTCCTCTGGACTTTCATAGGATCTTGTGCCAAATTTGCTTATTGTGTATTATTTCTTTTCCAACTGACTATAAGAATTTGAGCTCAGGGACCTTAGTTTATTTATCTTTATATCCCTAATGTCTACTACAAGATCAGTATATAGGTCAAATATTTTGTTATATATATATATATAACAAAATATATATATATATATATATCAGCCTTGAGTTTGTACTGATCCTTAAAAGGCCCCTAATTAAAGTGAGAATAGCTGAGGGGGGAGGTAAGGGTTTAGAGATAGTCGATTAACTCATATCTAGATGAGACCAGGAACAAGCTACAATGTGACACATGATGAGTATTTAAAGGAAGTGTTTGTGGCCCTGGCCAGTTTGGCCCAGCGGTTAGAGCGTCAGCCTGCGGACCGGAGAGTCCTGGGTTCGGTTCCTGCTAAGGGCATGTACCTCGGTTTCAGTTTGTCCCTGGCCCTAGTTGGGGTCATGTGGGTGGCAACCACTCAGTGTGTCTCTCTCACATTGATGTTTCTTCCCCCCTCTCCCTTCCACTCTATCTGAAGATAAATGCAAAAAAAGCCCTTGGGTGAGGATAAAAAAAAAAGAAAAGAAAGTGTTTGTGGCATGTGTGGCAGTAGAGTGGGTAAAATGGAAGAATAGCAACTATAAAACATTTCCATAGCTTCACTGTTTCAGGAGACCCTTGGCCAATTTTCCCTTCATAGGCTAACAAGTCCCAGACACTTAAGATACAATATCTTCCCCCTCTTTTGAAAAGAGGCTGAAAGTAATTTGTGGCTGTTAACCAGGATTTCTGAATAAGTCTTATCTACATTTTGTGTACCTTTCTAATAAAGATAAATTTCATATTATAGTAATAAGCAGGACATCCTGAATCCAAAGTAACCTTGTCTGAAATATATGTCAGGTTGTCATTTATTGTCTGTAGTAAAAGGCAAAGAAAGGCCTGCCTAATAAGCCTGTCTCAAATGAGATAATGGAGTTATGATAGGACACCATCACTACTGAACATTTCAGCCCCAAAAGGAACTAAAAGAGGCTTAGAACTCCATTCTTCTGTAGAGAAGATATCTAATTATAGAAAAAAGTCTGAATTTGCCCCCAAAATGTTGGGGTGTGTAGTCCCCCTTGAACATAAAAAAATTTTTTGTCACAAGCAGAAGACTAACAGTGCACAAGCATTGGATTGCAGTCAGAGTGGTGGTGTCTGCATATTATATAATATTGTTTTGAATGGAGAATAATGAAGGGAAGTAACCCTTGACAGATCTTTAGGTCTCTAGCTAGGCAAAAAATTAGGCCAAACTAGAGGTTTTCAACTCTAGGTTAATCAAATGTCTTAAGCAATCAGACTTAGCAGTCGCCAAAATATTAAGCTCAAAAAGTTTCTGGTTTCATGAAATCATTTTAAATGTAGTCACATTGCTTGGGTTAATGATATCCTATTTGTGAAAGAGAGAACTGCTGTTTTATTTGGCATTGTGTATTTCTTTCATTAGAAAATAGTATTTCAACTAAAGTACCAAGATCAGGTATACAAAATAACTTTGTTAAACAAGGCACTTTGATACTATTGTCATTCTACTTAGTACTTAGATGAGTGGGAGAGGATGCATGATAAGTATATACTGAAGCTCTTGGTCTGAAGTTATCCTTATAAATGAGCTTAAAGCTATTATAAAGTGAACAAGATCGAAAAAGAAGCAACTTCAATACTTGGGGGAATAAACTTCATTTCCAGGAAGTTAGCGTGTGCAGGTTTAAAGGGAATCCCAGACAGAAGTGAGTTGAAAGTGTTGAGTGATGAGGTGTTAAAGGCACACCCAAATGTTAATTGCTGCATTTCTATTTCAAACTTTGCTATGTGTCTTTCATTAGTATAAATCCATTTAAATAATGTATTCCTCTTTTGACAATTCAGTAGCTGATGGCACTTCTATTCTTGTTTATTATCTCTATTTTCACTATTCTTACCATGTGATGCTTACATCAGTTTACCGGAAAGTGGCAAATATATTTGTCACATCAGAAATATATTGCTTTACACAGAGAGTAAGAAGAACCCAAACAGGCCCACACCAAGACACATAGTAATTAAAATGCCACAAATTAAAGACAAAGAGAGAATCCTAAAAGCAGCAAGAGATAAGCAACAGGTTACCTACAAAGGAAACCCCATAAGGCTCTCAGCTGACTTCTCACAAGAAACACTACAGGCCAGAAGGGAATGGCATGAAGTAATCAAAGTCATGAAAAACAAGAATCTGAATCCAAGACTACTCTACCCAGCAAGGCTATCATTCAAAATAGAAGGTCAAATAAAGAGCTTCCCAGACAAAAAAAGGCTAAGGGAATACATTAGCACCAAACCAGCACTGAAAGAAATGTTAAAAGGACTGCTGTAATTAGCAGTAGAAATGGGAAGAAAAATAGAACTACACTAAACAAAAATGGCAATAAATAAGTACATATCAATAATCACCTTAAATGTAAATGGATTGAATGCTCCCATAAAAAGACACAGAGTAGCTGATTGGATAAGAAAGCATGACTCATCTATATGTTGTTTGCAAGAGACCCACCTCACAACAAAAGACTCACATAGGTTGAAAGTGAAGGGATGGAAAAAAATTTTCCAAGCAAATGGAAAGCAAAAAAAAGCTGGGGTAGCAATTCTCATATCTGATAAAATAGATTTCAAAATGAAGACCATAACTAGAGACAAAGACAGCCACTACATAATATTGAAAGGATCTATCCAACA